TTTAATTAAAAAAGGAGAAGATAAAATTCTTGTAACAGCACACGGCTAAGGGTCCCTTTTTTTATAGTTTATTAAACCGTTTTCCTTACACACTCGAAGTTATCTTTCATTAGACATAGCTATCGTTTTCCATACGCTCATACGGTTTAATTAATTACAGAATAAGTGAAAATTTACGCAACTTTTTCGATTACTTTGACCCGTTCTGCGCGCAGAAAATTACATACTGCATTCGAGTAAAAATTCGAGTAAAGTTTTCAATGTTAGTTAACATGTTCGCGCTGCCAACGTCATACGTGTGTATGACGATATATTTTTTTGTATATCCACATGCAAACAAACTAAGTTTGTTTTACACGATTACATGAAAACAAATATAACGTGGTCTGTGGGGAGAATCCCCTAAACAAACTGTGATAGCGAGTACCTTTGATAGGAATCGTATTTTAAAGTCAGTAAATTATTGCACCGCTTTAACTACTTAGCTTTTATTTAACCCAAGTTGCTCTCACGTGAAAAAAAGTGCACGTATTTCCATCGAGGCCCCTTCTCTCACACGCGTACTACATAGATATTCTTTCATATGATTATATACGTTTCGCATGGAATTGCTTATTGCGAACACTTCGTGTATAATAATTAGGAAGGAGATATCCGAGCCGATATCTAGGTCGTCGTATACGTTGAATTTAATGCTGATTTTACAGGTATAGCAAGTTACGGAATGATATTACTTGAACGATTCGAGCAGTTTAAGGCTTCCGACGATAGGTATCGAATATATCAAAACTCGTGGTCGCTACGGGCACGCATTCATGAATCTAAAGTTGATGATAATAATGATAATGTTACCTCTCTTATTGGTCGGTTATCAGTATACAAGAAGTGAAGAGAATTAGTATATGCCAATTAAAAATCTGTGACAAGTATGCGTAATGTTAGCGACCGAATAGTGAGGCGACAACTTGGCAGTTGATTTTAATGTTCAATCACACGACTTTTCATCTAGCGACAATTCTGCACGGACAAGATATTGTAGTAAAAGTTAAAGTTATACTTCCTCTTGCAATGTCATTTGTGTAGAGCTGGACTATACTGAGATTGTAACATAAATCGCTACAGGAGTAGTAAGTTTGACCATCTAACTGATATTCAAGTAATTACAATAGCTTTGCAGTAAAAGGTCAAACGTGCATGACCCTTTTAAACGGTATATAATAATTTCGATCATATGAGCCAAGAGATAACCAAAATTTTTTTGTAATTTTTACTACAATATTTTCCCCGTGTGTCAGGGCGCGCACACCAGGAGCCTCTTTTTCTTTTCCTCTGATCAGCTTTTTAGCATACTGCGTCAACACTGTCTTCATTAAAATTAGTTCTCAAATTAAAATTCCGTTAAAACCTGCTCGGAACTAATAGGGAAGTAACTCTTGTTATACTTTGGAGACTTTTCACGGATTATCGTTCTACGGGGCGTAGAAAAGGCTCGAATCGCTCGCAAGTCCAAAAATCGGCTCGGTCTCTCGAGACCTTGAAGAACAAACGGCTTACCGCGGTAGTTTGAATTTTAGTGTTTGCTTCCCAGGTTGAATTTTATCGCTGTCGACGGTGTAACGCGATTATAAGAAAGTCAGCCGCGAGAACGACCGCACACGAAACGTAAATCGTAATATAATCCACGAGGTGTAACGCCGACTGGTATTAATAACGCCTTAATTGGAAATTAGACTATGATATAAGCGTTCGACCTTCCTTTCCACGAGCGAGGGTCGCGCGCCGCGTATATATGCCACCGGAGTTAATTCCTTTAATTAATAATACAGCTTAGAGCGTAAGACTGCAAAGCGACCGGTAAGCGCCGTGTTTTATTCGTGTGCGTCGGACGATACGGTGTAACTATGTTAAGAATCATATACACATAATGTGCGCACGTGAGAGCGAGCTCTCTCGCCTTTACACGATACCACTCGAGAATTGTTTCGTTTGAGTAGACCTTCGGCTATTGCACATTACGATGACCCAGATATCGAAAATTGTATATCCAACGTGACACACGAAGCAACGTCGCGCAGTAGATTCGAGCGCAATTTTCGATAACGTACCGTTGACAAGAGACAGTACATTTTGATATGGTCCGCCCTTTTTTTTTTTTTTTTTTTTTA